TCATACACCCTGCACCCCTCCTCTGCCCCAATCCCTTGCCCTGAGCCCCTTCCTGCACATGGCACCCCCTCCCACACCCGCACTCCCTCCCGCACCAGCCCTGCATACAATTTCCATGCCCAGATGTGGCCCTCAGCCCAAAAAGTTTGTCCACCCCTGCGCTAGATCTTGACCCTTGATGAATTTAAATGAGACCCTGGAATGGTAACAGAAATAGAATGGAAACCAGTGGAGGGATAGAAGCACAGAGGTGATGAGCTCACAGTGGCCCTGACCACTCAGGAGGTAGGCTGTTGTATTCTGGACAAGCTGGAGTTTCTCCATGCTTGCCACCGTCAGTCCAAAATGCAGTAAGTACAGTAATCCAGCCAATCCTCTCCGGAGGGAGACTATATGAATCACTGTGGCAAAAACCTCATATGGAAGGAAAGGGACAAGTTTCCTTGCAAGGTGCAGATGGCTACCTGGTTTTCTAGACTAAGCACAGAGTAGGATACATGGGGGTAGTTGCCTTCAATAAGCCAGCTCATTCAGTGATCAGTTCTCCCTTTGGACCCATTTCTGAGCTAGAAATACACAGATATCAAAATCTCAAACTGATAAAAATCTAAAAAAAATGGCAGTACTTCTGTAATTAGTATTTTTAATTTTGGGCCACAGAAATCATAAATACTCACAACTTTCTTTAGTCAATGGGAATTGTGGGCACTCAACACCTTTTTTTTTTAAAGAGAGAAAAATAATGTTTATTGTTCAATTCCGCAACGGTTCCGTATGTGAGAATCCTATCGAGGTCATTGACAGTTCTATGAATACATGCATACAAGCTGCATAGCAGGGAGGAAAAACGAGGCCCCAGGTGAAACGATCAAATCCTAAAATGTGTCTTAAAATAGAGTCTATATTCTTGAAAAAATAAAATCAAATGCCAGTTTGCTAATGAAACAAAGTTTTCTTCCCAGGTTATTTTTAGGCATACTGGTTTGCAATCTCATCATCACCTCCAAAGAGCCTTGAAATTTAAACTGCATGTCATACGAGAAAGAGACCACTTTGTAAGATGTTTGATGTCCTTCTTACCACATCCCCAACATGAAGTACAGTAATTGCTCATGAAGGAGGGTCTGCATGATGATCTATTTAATGTTAGTTCTCGGTAGGAAATAACATTTCTGTTCTCTACCACAGAATAAAATAATCCATTTAAAAGAAAATCTGCTGTGATCATAACAAATGTGATATAGTTATGAATTTCTCTCTTAC